GATCGATGATTCTCTCTCATCATTGACATTTCTATCTCTCTCTCCCTCTCCTTTCTGAAATCAATAAAAATATATATTTTTTAAAAAGACAGACCTTGAACAACAGTCCACTTATTTCAGATTGACTGAATTTTTTCACATTGTTTCTCTAAGAAAGAAGTATTTGAGCTTCACAATCCAAATGCATGGAGATGTTCTAACAAGTATAAACCATGATGCTAGTCTTTGATGATCTTGATAGAATCGGGTGCTGGACTCACCTGATGAACTAAGTGCTTGAACATGTTAGACTTTCAGAAAATGAGCTAGATCAGCAGTTCTCAACCTGTGCGTTGCGACCCCTTTGGCGGTTGAATGGCCCTTTCACAGGGGTCGCCTAAGACCATCCTGCATATCAGATATTTACATTACGATTCATAACAGTAGCAACATTACAGTTATGAAGTAGCAACGCAAATAATTTTATGGTTGGGTCACAACATGAGGAACTGTATTTAAAGGGCCAGAAGGTTGAGAACCACTGAGGTAGGTACTTTCCTATAAGGTAGACATGTCCCATTTATATATGGGGAAACTGGGGCTCAGAGTAGCCAGGCACATTGCCCAGGGTTGGGGTTGCACAACTGTAAAAGGTCGAATTGAGATTCCACCCCAAGTCTAGCCGATTCCAAAGCCCATGCACTGTCTACCACAGCATGCTGCTTCATTTAAGTCAAGTTCTAAAGTTGACGCACAGTGGACACCAGAGTTAAAAAAAAAAAAAAGCCATGGCCAGTGTTGCTGCATGGTTAGAACATCTGCACATGCACTGAAGGGTCCCAGGTTCGATTCCGGTCAAGGGCACATACCTTGGTTGCAGGCTCCTCCCTGGCCCAGACCTGGTCGGGTGCGAGCAGGAGGCGACAAATTGATGTGTTTCTCTAACATCAATGTTTCTCTCTCTCCTTCCCTCTCTCTTCTACTCTTTCTATAAATCAATGGAAAAATATCCTTGTGTGAGGATTAACAAAAAATAAAAAGTAAAGAAAAAAGGAATCTGTGTCGAGGTCTTGTCTCTCAATTATAAAATACCCAACATATAACACCCTCCAACCTGGCCCCAAATATCCTGCAAAGTCTTGTCTCCCTTAGAATAAATACATGATACTTTCATTCCAACCCTAATGGAGTTTCTTAGGACATTGTAACAATACAGTTGTGGAACCAGACAGCCCTGTGCAGACCTGCACAAGCGCCTTCAGTTCTCAAAACCTCAGATAATCCCCCCTGTAAAGTGAGGATAACAGCAGCACCAGCTCCCCGCTGTGAGGATTAAATTAAATAAA